TCCCTCTATAGATATAATATATGATGAACTGTGGACCTTTGAGCCGAAATAGAGGCGTTCCAACCCCAATTCTGATTATTTGCACGCTTTAGCTTGATTTGCACATGCTCAATTGTTGCATAAAAAGGTTCTATTTCACACCCTCTTCGCAGACGCCATTTAGTTTTTGATTTAATGAGACGTGGATTTGGTAACTGCACATGCTCGACAACGTCACTTAGGCCTTTAGGCCTACTCAATACGCATACTCCCTGTCTGTCCAGCATTTCCAAGCGCATGCTCACTCAGGGCCTTAGCCACCGGTACGGTTGGTCAGGTTTAAACCTGAATACTTTTTGACAGACCACAAGTTAATTGATTAGGTTTCAAATAGGAAAAAAGGCTAAATTCCAATCGTATGTTTAGACTCAACCTAACTCCCTCTTGACATAACTCAGGAACCACAAGTCTGTGAACTCAGGAGTGAACGGTTAATGATAGTTTACATTATTTTCTTCCCTTTAGTGTAAGATTAAAAATTATTTAGATTAAGAAACTTAAAGTTAAAATTCGGAGTCTATGTGGGCTTAGCTTTTATCCAAATAAAGTTGGTCAAGTACTACTCATACACAGTGAGATTTTGTAGAAAATCAAACTAAAGTTCCCTTATACATATGCTTAGACTAACATTCATTTCTTCACTAAATTACCTTGTCAATTGGCGAGAAAAATCCATGCCTTTATTTATTCCTGATAGTTCTAGTATGCAGCATTATTTTCTGTAAATAAATATACTGTAAATATACTTTTTTAAGCACTTCTCTTAAATACATTGTCAGAGGATCCAGATCCTTCGGCGGCCCACTGGCGGATCTCAGTGCTCACTTCACACCATCCTGACCACTTCAATTCTCGTGGCTACGGCCCTGTCACTTTTTTTCACAGATATTTCAGAGACGGTTTTTGGTAGCTGCGCATGTGCATTGTTAAGTTTGGAATTATCATTTCTTCGTAACGTGGAGGTATGTTTGTAGTAAAAGCTACTGCTTACCTACAGTTACCTAATGACTGTGTACTCTTGTCCATAGCAGCCTAAAGGTGCTGCGCGAAGAAATTCTAAGCTTAAAATAATTATATGTTTTAAATTTTATCTTCTAGAAGTTCTATGTTACAAGTTTATTGAATCTTCCGGTGATATTACACTAGATGCAGAAGAATGCACACGTCATAATACTGACTATGGGCTAGCAGGTGTAAATAGCGCCCTCTTACTGGATGGAATTGCACAACTTGCAAGGTCAGACAGCATTGCTGACAGATATTGGCTGCGCGTGGGATCATCTGTGCAGAACATCCCATCAACGACAGGCCCATGTTCTACTTATAAAGATGATTTTACTCTTAATGATAATGAATGCACTTACCTTCAGATTAAGAACGATGAATATGAAATCAGAAAACGCATGTGCCGGGATGCCACAACCAATGACGGATTCATATGCCAAGGAAGGCTTGGTAAGTAAACTCGAAGAAACAATCAAGCTTGGCAACATCGAAGATAACGTTTCTCCCTTTTCTAATAATAATTTAACTATTTTTTGAAAGATTGTAAGAGTTATATTATTTACTTCAGTCATTTACCTGTAGATGCTTTTATTATCTACGTATCACTGAAATACACTTAAAAGCAGGATCCGGGGAGTGGGGTAGGGAATAATACAGCTCTATTGTAAAAATGAATATTCAAATACTTTAAAGAAAAATAAATGGGAACGAAGAAGATACACATATTTGATAATTAAAAATACAGTATTGAGGGTATGGAAGTCTGTAGAACAAATAGATATCTTAATTCATTCGTACCACTTTCAATTAGAGTGCTTAATCAAAATATCAAATAAGTTTTATGGCCTAATTATAATATATTTTCTCCACTACTAGCTATATATTATTTATACTGATACTGCATTTTGTTTTGCGATGTGATGTACCAACTGATTTTCTTAAAGGACACAAATAAAGAATCTTGAATCCCCTTTCACCCAGTTGTTAAATGGTGTGATATAGGCATATATGTATTTATAACACACCTAAATATATACTTGTTATTGATCGGTTGATTTCGTATCACGTGACATTGGTTATTAACCGCATTTCGTCACTCATTATAGAAAATTAGTTCCACTGTGCATGTTTACATCCATCTGTTTTAGTTCATTGCGCGGCGCAATGAACTAATGTTCATAAAGTGGGAATTCAACTTTATATAGATTAATATAATTATTTTCACGCAGAGACAACGCGAGACACACCAACGACATCATTGGACAAAATATTCACCGGAAGTGACGTCACAACTAAAGTAAAAATGGCGTCACAGGCTACTTTTAAACAACAGCCAAATGATTCTAAAATGCCGGATGCTGTTATACCAATATCAATCGCTTTAGCCGTAGCTGTCGTTTGTATTGCTGTCTTAGTAGCCATCATACTGTTGAAAAGACGAACACCAGACGACAGTGGATCTGGGACTAATCCTCAAAATGAACTTGAAAAACATGGTAACAGATCTCAATTATTATAAATATTCGTATAATTGCTATATAAAAAAAAAACAGTCCACCTCATGTAGGTCTTAAATATTTTATTAAAAAAAGTTCATGAAAAAGTTAATTAATGTTATAACTTAATTTGTAATATATTGTAAATTGTTATTGTTATTATTGCCTATAATGTAATGTATATTTTAGAGAATAGTCAAAGATTTGTTAAAGTACAGTCTGATCGAATTCATGTTGAGATATATGATGGGATACCAATGTCAATAAAAACGGAAATGACGAATTTGATACACACTTTTGACACAGACATTGCCCTTTAAACTACAGTACAGATAGCTTATTATTTTATATAGTATATATATACATTATATATATATATATATATATATATATACTATATTATATACATTGCAATTATTATACAATGTAAGATCAATTTGCTATAATGGAGTTATCTTTTTTGTAGATCCAGTGATAAACCAAGTAAACGAACAAGACTGTGCTGAGAGTTCATCAAGCTTAAATCAGTATTCAAAGTATGAAACTTCTTTACCGGGAGACTATGCATACCTCAGTGATAATGTGCTCAAGAATCACGGCCCAGATTACTGTGTCGTAGAGGGTGACGTTTATAATGGGAAATACGAATATCCGATGTTGCCATTATCTGTCGAGAATTCGAACGCTGAAACTCTTTTAAATGATCCTTCTTATGATAGTCTTGGCCCCCATTATGACGTGTTAAACCGCGAAGAAGAGGGGGAACAAGCGCCATCTGCTTATGATGATTTAGAGAACGGAACAGAAATGCCCGAATATGAATATTCTTATGCTTATTATACTGATCTTATAAAGTGAAGTTCTATAATTGATCAGAATCAGTTAGTATGTTTTTATTATTTTTAATTTGCACATTACATACCGGTACATTTTTCATAATTTATTTTCGGAGATCACATCTTGTCGTTGAAGACACTTAAAATGAATACTGGTGTTGTATCAGCATACTGTATAGTGTGAAATGATTGCCTCAAATGGGATTCAGACTTCCAACAAAAGATTCCAGTTGGTTGAGGTGTTTGCATAGAAACCCTCTGCTATAAATTAAATCCCAACCGCCTTCTCGCTTATTGAACCAGATATCAGAACTTGATTTATATATGTATATTTTTCGTTTCCTATTTTTTTTTTTCAGTTCATAATATTACATAAAGTATTTTCCCATACCATATAATTCAAGATACTTTTGGTTTTAACACCAACAAATATAACTAATTTCTTATAACTAAACAATATGAATATTTAATAGACGCTGGTTGGAACGGCACGCTTGCCTTTGCTTCTGGTGTGGTGGAACATGTCTTCTCGGATAAGGATTATAAACCGTACGTCCAGTGTACACAATTGACTCATGTGCACTTTAAACAACAAAGTACTGGTTCGTACAGCCCATGTTGTGGACAGACTAGGGTAGCTGGTACCGCTTACCGGGTAGCTCAGACACAAACAGACCCTTATGGGAGAAGAAAGTTACTGTATTAGCTTGTCCACGCTTCGAACGCTTTGAGAGTGTGGTGTACAGCGCTGTATAAATTCAACTATTCTTATTGTTATTCTTCTTCTTCTTCTTCTTCTTCTTCTTCTTCTTCTTCTTCTTATTATTATTATTATTATTATTATTATTATTATTATTATTATTATTATTATTATTATTATTATTATTATTATTATTATTCTTCTTCTTCTTCTTCTTCTTCTTATTATTATTATTATTATTAATAATGTTATTATACAATTATTATTATTATTATTATTATTATTATTAAAATTATTATTATTATTATTATTGGTATTTATATTACAAATACCATACTTACAACTTTCATTTCTATTATTATTATTATTATCATTATTATTATTATTATTATTATCATTATTATCATTATTATTATAATTATCACTATTATTATTATTAATATTATTAAGATAAAAGATATTTTAATATTTTCTATTGTATTAGTAGGTATTATAGTGCCTATCAGTATTTTATGTATAAAATTTAGTATATTGTAAATCTAAGCCTAAGTACTGTCGATGTATTAAAATATCATCTATTTGTATACCTAGGTAAGCAATACACCCGCTAACTTTGGTTTTATTGAATCAAATAAAGTCATAAGGAATACCGTTAAACATATAATATATTTGTTAGAAGTTATTTCGAAGATTAGATATTTTACACTACTGTTGTTTTAGAAAACTCAAATCAACACTGCTTTCAAGACTCTTTGTCCATTAGACACACTCTCTTTCAAACACTTTTCCGTCGCAAATAATGTTGCTGTTCTTCTCCTCTTCTTCTCCCGTTATGTATGGAGTAATGCTCTCTTCCACTAAAATACATTCATGCCTTAACTATTTTTTCTTGGTCGTGTAACCCGCCCTACTATCAACCTCTCTTAACTATTCTTGTTGTCGGAACTAGCTATTACGTTAGTTTACATACATTCTCTAATAACAATAAACCATACCTGTTCCGTTTATATTAAAAAAAAAAAAAAAAAAAAAAAAAAAAAAAAAAAAAAAAAAAAAATCCAGAGAGGCTGCCACCATTAGAGTCATGTTATCAAAACTGGTATTTACACAAGTCCTCGTCATCATCAGCCAAACTGGCATGGAGCATACAATAAAATGTTATTATTTGCTATTCATTCAAACTTCATGACGTCATTGTATTCATTGAATTGAAGATTGGAATTATAATGTACTGTACTGTAATCGCAACGAAGAACAGGTTCTAGGTGCTTGTGCTTGTACAAGTCGATAGCTTTGCTCCGCATATAATGTAAGTTTATAAAGTCTACATGATAGGATACAGAATATATATAAACGAATAGATAGAAAAAAAATAATAGTGCTCTAATAGGTATATATATTCCGCATAAATTTGTATGATTATCATGAGCGTTCGGAAATAGGATTTAGGCAAGAATGCAATAAAGCAACCAGGAAGTATGCGGAAATAGAGTATATCAATGGCGTATCGTAGAAAATAATATTGTATTTGTTCCCTATAGAATGCTAGCGAAGCGAGAATTTATGCTGGGGTCAGGGGGCCGCCAAGTACCTTGGAGGTGGTGCAGTAGCATAACTTCACTGTTATTATTTTCCATTTGTTTGCGTTTATCGTGCTACGCAGCAAACCTAAATTTCAATATTATTTATGTGTGAGCATTTCAGTCAGTTGTATGAAAGTGGGGGTTAGATCTGCGCGAGTACTAAATGGGCCTCCGTTATGTAATTGGTATGCTACTCGCTTTGATAGGGAGAGGTTGCAGATTCGAACCCAGGATTTTTTTTCATACAACTAAATTAAGGAACTTTTCGTTGAAGGGCTATATTTCTTGCTCCTCTAGAGCACTGTTGTCATTATTTTTTTTAATTTTATGCATTTGTCTATGTTGTGTTTACGTTACAACGCAGCAGACTAATTTCTCTCTCTCTCTCTCTCTCTCTCTCTCCCTCTCTCTCTCTCTCTCTATATATATATATATACATATACATATATATATACACAGTATATATACGTTGCTTCAATACTTGTTTATTATAATCTACATGTATACCATCATCACAATGGCTCAACTGGCCCATGAAAACATATTGGATAGACACGGTAATTTGGAAATTGACGGCAATAGAAAAATGTCATTACTTGACAGAAGGAAACGTATGGACAATTGGGATTTTGTACGTCGATGTTGGTAGGTACCCTTAATCTATTCTTTTTACCGTTTTTGACGTTGTTTACCTATTTAATTTTATTTATGTGTGTTTTCATTATTTTGTTTAAGTAATGAAGTAAATGGTAACACTAAAGAGCTGAACGAGAAGCTTGTGAGGTCTTTGGAAATTGCAGCGTACAGATTTGACCATTTAGCACACAAAAAATAATAAATTTACTGCATGATATGAAATCAATATATAGATTGGATTGGATTTATTCAGAGTAAGCACTAAGGATAGCACACGAAAAGTCTAAGACTTATTTCCAGTGGGGTCCTTCGGGTGGTAATTGATCAATACCGGGAGATAATCCCCTAATCTTTTCCCACGTGTTCTTTAACTTGCATACAGGACCAACAGCTTAAACGTCTCATCCGAAAGACTTTACGCTATTGGAACTTGTATTTTAGCCCTCTTTGAACACAGGGAGAGGCAGCGATGGGAATTGAACAGGGGTCATAGAGATCTCCACGGTTCAGCGCCCACACTGGCACCACCAGATAAGCCAACTGAGCTAAGCTGCTCTCTAAAATATAATTACAAAAGCTGTATATGTAATTGTTTCTTGATTCAAGTGCAATGTTAATAACAAAATATTATTTTTTAAATATTGAGCTTTCTATTGTATCCACAAGATAGAATAGCATGAACTTAGAAATCAGGGTGCAGGCTGTACTGCATAGATCCTATATGAAAATACACAAAACAAGAAATCGGTGGTTAATTTGACAAGAATTTATTTCTACGAAGCAACACATGCACTATGAATATACCAATGTCTATTTTAAAGATTAAGAAAATTGTTTAAAAGCTTATTGCTCAAAAGTTAAATATAAATTTGAATACTTTTTTCCTTTTTTTTTAGACTATTTTATGTAACTGTTTTGATAGGCTACAATAAAATAAACAAATAAGTGTCCCCTTAATAGGTGGTAAATTGTATTGATTTTGACCATTCATTCAAAAACTCTCCCCCTTAATAAGGGTGCTCCCTTAATAGGGATTGGCCGTAGTGGTAACAGATATATTTTCTCTCGTTTCACCGAAAATGTGTCCTTAATAGGATGTCCGCTGAATATGGGTGTCCCAAAGGAGGGTTCTACTGTAGGGGATTCGTTATGGGCCTGTTTCTATGAGAAAGAACCGTTTTTTCTGCTGCTTTTTCAGAACCATTATTATCCACCAGTCTGATAAACCTACGATATTATAATCTAAAAGGAATCAGTAAAACACACGTTAAACTTCTGTTCTCAACACAATGAAACATTCTCTTTTTTTTTTTTTAAATAAGAACAAAAGTTTTGCCCTCATTTTACTTGTTACTTGATACTTATATAGCATTTCCTCCGTGTGGTTACAAAGCGCCAACTACTCTCCACTCTGTAATATTTTCATCAAACTGCCACTCTCGCACTTCAACCACAACTAACAAAGTATGCTTTTATGAGTCATAAAGACTAAGGTAGATCAATGGTAATAAAGGATAAGAATATTAAAATGAAATGAGTGTAAAAACTATCAAACCCAGCCCAACATGAAACTAAGTGGCAGATACAGATTTTAAGGCATGCCCTAAACTGTCTGACAAAGTTAAGTTATTAATAGGAGACAGAATATTCCACATTCAGCCCGCTGTAAATGATGTAAAGATTCGTCGCCGATACGCCTACGGAACATGGTCTGACAAGATGTATTGTGGATGCCGATCGAGGTGATCGAAAATGTGTACTTGTTAATGAATTCAGATATAGTATGGAATAAGCCCGAAAGAAATTTGCAGACTAAAGGAAGTAGTTTTGAATTCGATTATTCGACTCGTAACCATTTCGATATAATATAAATGTCTGGCAGCCGTTTTTGCAGTGCAGTGTACGGGTCGGGTCGGGTCCGACATGAGCTATTATTCGGATAGGAAGAATAATCATTGTTTGTATTCTGTTAATCGTGCAAAAGTATTGTTGTTTTATACTTTTATTATTAAAGTAATTCCGTTAGTTTAAATTGCATTCTGGCTAATTTTTACGTCATTTATATAGAGAATCAGCCCGGTATCAAATACGGAATGGTTACATGTTGAGTCAAAATGCAGTTGCAAGGCGTTCCTTATCTTAGTAAACCGATAATTGTAAGAGGACAGTTTTTCTCTCGATTTCCAGTAGATATACACCCTATTTCATTTCAAATTCTAATACAAAAAGGATAATCAGAAAATATAATGTAGATATATTTGGAAAAGATAACATAGCTTGTGCAATCCTTCATACTTTTCTTTTCATATATTATTATTGCATAAAGAATGATTTTAATATTTTTTACAGGGATGATGTGAATGTAAGCATTCTAAACAGCATGCTACCAGACAATTGTCTATATGTCAATCAAAGTAAATATTAATTACATTAAACACTATATTTATCATCGTCTTTAAAACAGATATTTCTGCATGACAATACCAACATTAAAACATTAAAAAGTCAATAATTTGACTAATGTACTATATATATTTTTTCATAACATGATTATCATCATCATCATCATCATCATCATCATCATCATAATCACCATAATCATCAGCCTGTCAGGCCACTAAAACATTATTATTGTCTGTTTGGTGCCTGATTTGGCAAGTTATTTCCTTCTACTCTTTCTGGAATATTACGCAATTTGATCTCCCTCATTTCCCTTTTTTGCCCATCTCTTATGGTCCATTCGAACTACTTGGATTGTCCGCTCCAACTGTTTATAGACAGTTTTTCAAAAACGCCTTTTGTATTATTAGGCCCTATCTGATTGAAAGCACTTAACAATAAAAATATAATAACTCTGATTATAAGAATAATAATACTAACACTACTAGTACAATAACTGTTATTATTACAGTATTATTATCATTATTACGGTATTATTAATAAATATATTTATTATATTATTATTATTAACACATATATCATATTATGTTATTATTAACATCATCATCTTTCGTTATTATTCTTACTATTACCACTACTATTATTACTGTTATTGTTGTTGATGTTATAACTTTCTTCTAAGTACAATAATTTCATAGACTTATTTAATACAGTTATAGAACCTCTCCTTTGGGAAAGCTCCTATTCAGTTGACACACTTTATAAAGGGACACTTTTCTGGTAGCAAATAGAGGTAAAATTTATCTTTTAACACTACGGACAACCCCTTATGAAGGGCACATTTTATTAGTCTTGAAGGTGTCCCCTTTCTATGGGTTCTACTTTATACAACATCTAAACTATTTATAAATAAATATTTTTTATGCTTCTAGATGAACTTCAATGTTACATGTTAATATATTTGGGGCGAACTAATATGGAAGCAGATCAAGAATGCACAAGTCATGGTTATGAGTTAGCTGATGTAAACAGCGCCCTCATTCTTGATGGAATTGCGGAATTTGTTAGATCAGTCATTGTTGACAGTGGGTCTAGAAGATACTGGCTGCGCGTGAATTCAACTTTGCAGAACGTCTCGACGGAGGCAGGTTCATGCTCTAGTTATAAGAGTTTTAGTCCTGATAATGGAAAATGTACTTACCTGGACATTGAAACCAATAGATATAGAGTCAGACAGCGCAGCTGCACAAGCAAAAATGAAGGATTAATATGTCAAGTAAAGTTTGGTAAGTTAACACAAACGAAGAAACAAAACAAGTTTGTGAACAA